CCCTCTACGCACAAAAACTAAGAACACCGCGATGAGAAGGCAACATTTTTTGTAGAAACAAAAACGTCATAAGCCAATCAAGAAAATTTTGTGCACACTCGGGTTGAAACTCGAACACCCGGGTATATTGAGCTGCAAAGCACCCGAACCCAATCAAGTATGTATGAAAAGCAATCGGGTGTTGTGGCCAACATGTTCGTCTTGAGCTCAGTCGATAACGAACAATACTTCTGCTCGTATACAGAGAACGATGCAAAACGGGTTTTGTTAGATGATCGAGTATACACGAAAATCATGCACCCGCTGCAGATGTCTGGTCGTTGTCTTTCTTTTGTATGACTTGACTTACAGTGTCGGTTTTAGTCCGATACTGTAGTTGTTTTTGGCTTCGAGTTGGTGGTGGGCTGCGCAGCATACTCATCGCTGAGTTTGATTTGTTGCGATTTGCTCTGTGCTTCTTTGGCTTACCTTGCTTTTTGCAAAAACACTGGCAGGTGTAAATCGCATCGTTTGAGGGCCGATGCCTTCGTATCGCGCGTTACAAATTTTAGCAGATTTTACTCTAAAATTATCTTATAACCGGAGCGATTGGAAAACACATCTGCACGGCTGCACTTATACATAATTCAAAAATACCTAAAAGATAATGTTCTTAGTAAATTATTTATTTACATATCGATGGTCCTGTGCAATAACTACACAATTCAAAACTCATAATTTTTAATTTATTTATACTCAAAAAATATACTCCTTTAAGCTGCCAAAGAAGTGTGTAATACTTTTAAGTTATGTATCTGAAATTTGAGCTTTTAATTTTTTATATGTCCGAATTTTAGTTTAAACGGTATATATAAACCCAAAATAGCATTAAATAATAATAAAAAATATTTATTAATGGGGAATAAAATGGGAATGAAACAAATAAAAATCTTTCAACCCTTATTTCTTGCGAACCGTTTGCGATATCGAAAACGTATCGTATTTAGTCTTTTATCCTTATCCCTAGAAATATCCACACAACCTCTCAAAATATATCACCAATTGCTGACTAACGTTATTTCTTGCAACTATCGTAAATGAAAGTTTCACTGCCTCAAACTGAATGACATATGAATCATATTGCTATAGTTTCCCCGATTCATTTGCGAGAGCTCTGCCGGGTTAAATCTCGCATTTCGCTTACGTGCGTTATCATTTTCCAGCATTTGGTCCACTGGGTGTATATTTCTGCTAAAGTTTTTTGCTGTTCTTTGGTTGCACATTCTTTACACGTTTGTTGTTTTACAAAATAATACATATGTAGGTATATGTATTTTTTTTTTGTTTCGAATTCAATACATAGATATGTGTGTGAATTAAATATTTTTGCGGTTTATTGTTTTTGTAATACAGATACTAGCCTCAGTTTGTCCATGACGGAAGTGCGTATACCAAAGCATATATTGCGGTATGAGAATGCTGTTCTTGGCTGCAAATACGATTTGGATGGTGAATCGCTGTACTCAGTGAAATGGTACAAAGACGGTTTTGAGTTCTATCGCTACGTACCACGGGATATGCCACCTGGGCAAGTATTTCCATTACCGGGAGTTGATGTTGAGGTAAGTATGCTATTTCTTGAAAATATTGTAATAGTTTAAAGAATCAAATTGTTGAAAAACATTTTTTGCATTTTTTGTACACGAGCGACAAAAGAACGCTCAACTCGGGTAAAATTTCCTTTTAGCTACTTAAGCAACCCTGTTGGTATCTGCCATGAAACATGTGCTTAGTTTAACGGAATTTAGACGCAAAAAACGAGAGAATTGAGTAATTATGCGAGGTATAGCCGAGTTGTGTTATTGCTTTGCATGTATTTCATCATTTAAGCGAGTGTTCTTTTGTAGCTCGTATATGTATACACAGAAAAACATGAAATACTCGCTAAACGATGTTTCCACGACAAGTGATCCGCTCTCCTATTCCTAATAAGCTCTCTCATTCGTAATTGGCGCCCAATTACGAACCGAATCACGTAATTCGCCATACAAAATTTTGAGATCAAATCACTAGGGATGGAAAAGACGAGCGCAGAATCGATTCTTGACTTCGGAATCGACTTTCAGGTTCCACCTCTGAAAGTCGACTTTATGACTAAAATTGACTTTTTGAAAATTTGCAAAGGAATGAATACCTACCTCTATTAAGTAATGAACATTCAATTATTGGTAATTATTCAAAACAATTTTATTTTTTCAATTAATTGCACGCGATTTGGCTTTGAACTTTAAAATTAAATATTACAACGAAATAATTAAGAAAACCACATTTGCTCATCTACTGATCGCAAAAATATTAATTCATTTAAATGCTGAGGAGATAATCGGCTCCTTAACTGGTTAGCAATAAGACCGGCATGCGAAAACAACCTTTCACAGGGTACGGAAGTTGCCACGATAGGTAAAAACTTTTTGGCAACATTCCATAGGTGTGGATATTCATATTTCATTGAATCCCAAACAATAAATGGATTAGGGTTTTGCTTACGATTTACAGCTGGGCGTGTTAAGTACTGACGCAGTTGGATTGGTAGTCCTCCAGCTTCGTCTGTATCTGCCTGAGGGTAACTGCAGCTCACAGCACCATCAATAAAGGACCATATATCATCATCATCATCTTTTTTGTGGGATTCTTCTTGAACAGCAATTATATCTTCTTCCTCGTTAATATTTGCTAAATTGGTCGTTGCTTCCAATGCTCCTCTTCTTTCAATCTTAACAAGATCACCTAAGCCGGACAAGTAAAATGAAAGGGTACATTAAATTGTAAAAAAAAATATTTAACTTGGCATGCATCACATAACTTTGACACGATAGTCGTTGAAACGATATTGAAAAAACGATGTCGTCAAAACATTGATTCTTGTATTTTAGTTGCATACTATGGCGTCGACTATCGTAGTGTCGTCAACAGTTTGAAAATCACTACATATATTTTTTTGTGAAACTTCGATATTTTAAATTTAATTAAAATAAAAATTTTGAAAATAAATTCAAGAATTTATTTTTTCCCTGCTGTGTCAATAGCTACTGTAGCTGAATGGATGCGTTTTCGATTAGCACGTTGTTGGTCTCGGGTTCAGTTCATACCCTGCAGTGAAATCCCAAACTAGTCAGAAAAAATACTAGTTTACAACTAGAATTCCCTGATAGAAACCGAACTAGTTCGAAAATGACCAGACTTGTACCAAGTATAAAACGATTTATTCATGCCCTGTTTTATTTGACTTCGACAGTTTAATACAATGAAGTACACAAAATATTATGATTTTTATTTAGGTATATGTATTGGAAACCATTAAATCGAATACGTATTCAATTATACCAGTCCTGTTAAATAATGATTAATATTCATAATGATTATTAATTAAAGCATGTTTTTTTTTGATAACCGTTTACTGATCAAATACCGATATTACCACCTTTTTAATGATTAATAATTAATTACTTAAATGTTAAATGTTAATTAATTCATTAATTTTAGTTACATCATTATTTTGTTATTTTTGATCATTTTCAATCCTTTTTGACTTTTTTTAATTACTCGATTAATATAATTATTTGATAAATTTCTATTATCAATCAACAAGCCAAACTATAGACAACTGCTTGAATTATTTATTTATTTTATTCTAATCCAAATCTCAAATTTTAAACATTAATTATTACTTTTAAAATTGTTTTAAAATAATAGACGGAAATGTGCAAAGTTAATGAATTTAATTTATTTGAATGAAAACTTTTATTTTTATTTTACTTCACTCAAAAACGATCTAAAGAATTCATTTTATTTTTAACTTAAATGTTTTCTTTTGCATATTCAATATTATTAAAAAAGATAAAAATGTAGTATTTATTGTCTAAGGTCTAATTCTTTTAATAACATTTAATGAAAAATGCACTAGTATTTTTCTGTCTATTTTGAACTAGTATGAGACTGGTATATTTCTAACCGAAATCTGACAATTGCCATCTCGTAGGACATCCCCATGTTAAAAATACCAGTTGATTGCATGGAAAAAAGATAGTTGGCTGACTAGTTGGGCATGCGGTTCATACCAGTTGTGAGGTAGTTTACAACTAGTTCATTTGACTACAGGGTAGTGACAAGAATTTTTTTAGTTTTTATTTTTTTTATTTATATAAAATTTTTATCTTTGTTCTTATACTTTATTGCAATAAGGTAGCTAAGAAAAAGTGGGTCTAGCGGTATCCAAAATATTTGTGAATACATTTTTTTAATTTCCTTAGATAATGCTTCAGCTGGAAGATGTGGAGGCACAAATGATCAAACATTTTTGGTTTTCATGAAGCAAGGCAATCGCCGACACGCCTTTTTAATATTTAAAGACAAAAAATAATTGAGCCCATATGGCTGCTTTAAATGCATATCTGTAAAAAAATCAGAATCGATGTGTTGTTAGTGAGTTAACTTACCAACACTAGTTATCGCCCGAGCAGATTCTCGAATACTTTGAAATCCAAACTTTTTGTACCGAAGATCAAGAAGTGTCGCGCAAGCATATAACTTTACAGATTCAATGTTTCCATATTTAAATTCGATTTCTTGAGAGAGTTTTTTTTCAGTTGTCGTCCAATTGAAGTATCTGGAGCCAAACCTTGAATTTTCTGTAAATACAGATTAAATTTTAAGGCAATGAATAAATTTTAAAGTTTAATTGTAACTTACCATCTTAAGCCCGCAAATTAAAGGAATACATTTACTCAATGTAACATTCTTTTCCGAACAAACTTCTCGGGTAAGTCGCACAAGAGGTTTTAAAACGTCTCGCACATCAATCAACGCATCAACTTCTTCGCCAGTAATCATATTAGGTGGTTTAGCTCTAGAAGTTTTATCTATCTTCACTTGCAAAAGTACTTTACTGACATGATCCGCAAGCACGATGAAACGGTCAATCATCTCGTAGCATGAATTCCACCTAGTTTTTACTTCTTGAATCAATTTAAGACGAGAATTTGCAGGCAAATCCTTTTGCAAAGATATTAATTCGGTAGTAGCTCTTTCGCTATGGCGAAAAAATGCTACAATTTTCTTGACTTTTGTCAACAGTCCACGCAAAGTTGATTGCTCATTAGTGTTATCTACGTTTAAGTCATCAAAGCTTTCAATACCATCATCTTCATCAATAGGTATTTCAATTATTTTATTTTCAGATTCAGATATGGGTGGGGTAATATTTATTTCGACAAGTCGCTGGCCAATGTTACTAATAACATGTCCGAAACATGATATGTGTTTTCCTTCGCCAAATTCACTTTTTATGGCCCCTTTAATATTAGAACCCCCGTCTGACACGAAAGCTGCAATTTTATTATCATCCAGACCCCAGTCATTGCATATTTTTCTCAATTTTGTACTCAAATTTTCAATGGTTTTTCGTTCTTCCATGTGATAAGCGCCTAACTCAACCGTTTTCATATCATTTTCTAATAAGTAGATATAACCGATATATGTTTCAGTGAATATTAAATGTTTGAATAATAACTAAGTGCAACAAATTTTACTACATAATTAATAACTAACCTTTTACGTAATGTACTGTCAAACCAAGATAACTTTTCATGGTATGCTGGTGGGTCCAAATGTCGGTCGTAAGACAAACTGATTTAGTCTGTTGAAGTTCAACTTTTATTTTGGTTGATAAGTCTTGATATTTACGACTCATAGCTGCACTTAACGACGGCTCACACGGTATGTGATATAAAGGTTGTAACTTGTTTACAAACATTTTAAATCCTGGCCTTTCCGGAGTACAGAGAGGCATGTTATCTACCGCAATCATCCTAAGGAGAGCCGTAGTTATCTGTTCATGACGATACCCGCCACCTAAAATATAGTATAAATAAGAATATATGCTGTATAAAAGTACTAATTTTTACCTGAGAAAGAACTGGCGTTATTTATACACCGATCCATAGGTCCCTGGAAATTGGGTTTAACTGTTATTAGTGACTGACGACATGGAGTGCTTGTAGTTTCTAAAGAAACTGGAGAAACAGGTGGTTCCTTAGCCATTAAAGCCTTAAAATAAATTAGATTAAGGTAATATAAGAGAAAAGTTAACTATTAAAAAAGTTTAGTAAATTTTTAAATTTACCTTTTTAGATTGAATGTCTGAGTTATTATTAGTGTCGCTTCCTCTTTTGTGTGATTGTTTTTCTTTATTTTTTGAATATGTTGCAAATGCTTCAGCATGGTTGATGTGCTTTTATTAAATAGAAACTCTTTTCCACAAAGATTACACTTCACTTTTTTGCCATTATCAATTTTTGAGCAGTGAAACCATATAAAACTGGGAGCCATTATAAAATTGTGTGTAGTAATGGACGCTCGTTGCTGAAGGGCGTTTATTTAAATATCGTATTGCCATATTTGTTTATTACATGATTAAAGTGGCAGTGTTGCCATAATAATCTATAATACTAATAAATAAAATAATAACATTGGGTCTACACTATCGTAATAGGATGTTAAACTTACAAATGTTACCATCAAATACAAAGAGACAGAGAGAAAACAAAAGTCGAAAAGTCATCGT